CCCTAGGACAAATGGCGAAAGCAAAGCTATACGGACAAAATCTCACACAGAAGCATACACATACACACTCACAAAAAGAGGAAAAGGGGAAAAAATAGTCTATCTTGTTCTCAAAGTCCACCTCCTCAATTTGGGATGATTTGTTGTCTATTCAGGTATTCCACAGATGCATGGTACATCAAGTTGATTGTGGAGGTTCAATCCACTGCTTCTGAGGCTGCTGGGAGAGATTTCCTTTTCTCTTCTTTTTTCGCACAGCTCCCAGGGTTCAGCTTTGGATCTGGCCCCACCTCTGTGGGTAGGTCGCCTGAGGGCGTCTGTTCTTCTCTCAGACAGGACCGGGTTAAAGGAGCAGCTGACTTGGGGGCTCTGGCTCAGTCAGGCCAGGGGGAAGGAAGGGTACGGATGCGGGGCAAGCCTGTGGCGGCAGAGGCCAACGTGACGTTGCAACAGCCTGAGGTGCACCCAGCATTCTCCCGGGGAAGTTGTCCCTGGATCCCGGGACCCTGGCAATGGCGGGCTGCACAGGCTCCCCGAAGGGAGGTGTGGATAGTGACCTGTGTTTGCACACAGGCTTCTTGATGGTGGCGGCAGCAGCAGCCTTAGCATCTCATGCCCGTCTCTGGGGTCTGCGCTGTTAGCTGCGGCTCGCTCCTGTCTCTGGAGCTCCTTTAAGCAGTGCTCTTAATCCCCTCTCCTCGCGCACCAGGAAACAAAGAGACAAGAAAAAGTCTTGCCTCTTTGGCAGGTCCAGACTTTTTCCCAGACTCCCTCCCGGCTAGCCGTGGTTCACTAACCCCCTGCAGGCTGTGCTCACGCCGCCAACCCCAGTCCTCTCCCTGCGCTCTGACCGAAGCCCGAGCCTCAGCTCCCAGCCCCGCCTGCCCCAGCCGGTGAGCAGACAAGCCTCTCGGGCTGGTGAGTGCTGGTCGGCACTGATCCTCTGTGCAGGAATCTCTCCGCTTTGCCCTCTGTACCCCTGTTGCTGTGCTCTCCTCTGTGGCTCCGAAGCTTCCCCCATCCGCCACCCACAGTCTCCACCTGCGAAAAGGCTTCTAGTGTGTGGAAACCTTTCCTCCTTCACAGCTCCCTCCCACTGGTGCAGGTCCCGTCCCTATTCTTTTGTCTCGGTTTATTCTTTTTTCTTTTGCCCTACCCAGATACGTGGGGAGGTTCTTGCCTTTTGGGAGGTCTGAGGTCTTCTGCTAGCGTTCAGTAGGTGTTCTGTAGGACCTGTTCCACGTGTAGATGTATTTCTGATGTATCTGTGGGGAGGAAGGTGATCTCCGTGTCTTACTCTTCCGCCATCTTCTCAAATCCTATTGATTTCCTCTTTTTTGATAGCTGTATTCTTTAGTGAATTGTTTATTCATCCTTTGTTGACTTATTTATGGGGAAATAAGTATTTTTAAATTAATTTTCATATATTTTTAATCTAATAAAGAAATCATATCTGTTGAAAAAATTTTTCTAGTTACTAGTTGTGATCTATTTTGCTAATTTTGTTTATCTATAGAAGCTCTAAATTTTCTTTGAGGTAGATTTTATCACTTTTAAATTAGAAAAGGCATAGTCCTTCAAGAATTTTGATAAATATTTGATAATTTATCTTTGCTTTATTTTTAATATTTAGCACTTTTTCCACAAGGAATTTGTTTTGATACATAATATAATAGTATATACAACTGACATCCTTCAAACTGCTGTCCAGTCATTCCAGTATTTATAGAATAAGCCTTTCTTCTTCTTTTGATTTGCGAAGCTCTCCTGATCACATATTAAAGTATTCATTATAATATTGCTCATTAATGGGGTATTTCTTTCCTTAGATAGATTTAGTTATCTATTCTAATTTTAGCACAGATGTCCACTTTCCAAACTTTAAGTTTATGATTTCTAATAGATGAAGGCAACATTTAGAAAGTTACGAGCTTCATCCTCATGAAACTATTTTTTTCCATACCTCAATTATCTCAGTATTACATCTAGTCTCCCCAGGAGTTAAAAGTGGCCCTCTGGTTTCCAATTTCCCAAGTGTCCCACTCAGTGATAATTTATTAAAGGGAATGACCCTCTAATAGCTCCTCCCTCTTTATTTCTCAACTGGGTACATCCCTCTTTATCGTCCGGAGCTCAAAACATAATTGCCTGAAAGCTCTCTGACCCATCATAAGGGTGTGTAGTCTCTATTATATTTAGGAAAGAAAAAATTAGTAATTCCTTTCTGATGCAAGAATTCAACTTCTGAGTGCAGGAAACATTTTTTTTTAACCTAAGCAAATTACATTTGAAGAGATCTTTAAAAAGGGAAGGGAAACTCTTCACTCTATTTCTCCCAGCTAACTCTTAATTCCTCAGGAAGTAAAACTGGTTCATGCGTTGTACAGCCTCTTAGCACAGTGCAACTTTCCTTTAGAGCATCCATCAGAGTTTCTAATGTTGTCTTTATCTGTTTCATGACTTAATTAATGTTTCTATACTCCACTACCTACAATAATAATAGTCAACATTTATTGAGCACTTGCTCTGAATGCATATGAAATGTGTAGGAAACTTTGTATGGATCTTCTCACTTAATTCTTATAGCAACTTTCTCAAGTAGGTACTATAATTATTCCTAGGTAAGTATTATTATTATTCCCATTTTCAGATGAGAAAGATGGAGCCACAGAGAGATTAATAAATATCCCTTGAGGTGACATTGCTAGTGAGGTTGACCAGGCTTTCAATCCAGGTAGCCTGATTCCAGATGCCACATTCTTCACCTCTAGGCCAGCGCCTTCCAATACAATATTCTGCGATGATAGAAAGGTTCTCTATATATGCTATCTAATATGATAGCCACTAGCATGTGTGAGCATTTGAAATGTAGCTAGTGTGACTGAGGATTGGATTTTTAACTTAATTTCAGTGAATTTAAATAGCCATGTGTGGTTACTGGCTACTGTACTGGACAGCAGAGCTCTAGAAAGCTGCTGGGCAAAAATTTCCAGGAACGATTGTACCCATTTTTGCTTATCATTCTACCCTGGTTCTGGCACAATACCCCACATAATTTGTATTTATTGACTAAAACAAATAACTCAGAAGTGGTAGGATGGGGAGATGATAAGCGAAAACGGTGCTCTGAAAGCACCAAATTGTAAAGGATGCTCACCTCCAATTAAATCTCTCAAGCTTGTTTGGCATAAGTTTCATTTTTAAAATAGCACAAAATAAACATAATAAGATGAGTATTAGGGATTCATTTGGTAACACTGAGGATATTCTTATAACTCATACTTAATAAGAAGGGAAGAGGGAAATGGCATCAAATAGTAACCTCTGAGAATCGGCACTTATCTGACAAGAAATGAATTTAATGTCAAAATACATTTTCTGGACTATATTTCTACCATGAGCCAAAAAATCCTAGTAGTTGTTTGTAAGGTGGTGAATGACAAGCTCATTCACACTCTTTTCCCCAGAAAACACTCTAATGTTTTTCTGCCTATTACTGAATGCATCTTTCTTGTTGGAAGTATCTGTCTGAGCTATATCTGGTGTTTTACATTCTATCACCTGGTATATGTATTTGTTGTCATTGCTCAGAACAATAATCTAACAGTTAGATTAAGAGTGTAAAGAGACTCAACTCTACTTGGTAATTAAATGTCAGCAAGTATTTCCCTATTGGTCATGAATGCTGAAGTTTCTAGATAATGCACCATTAAATGTACACAAATGTACTCATATCAAATGTATATAGGGAGGGTGGGAGGGAGGCTCAAGAGGGAGGGGATATGGGGACATATGTATGCATGTGGCTGATTCACTTTGGTGTACAACAGAAACTAACACAGTATTGTGAAGCAATTATACTCCAGTAAAGATCTATTTAAAAAAATGTATATTAAAACAGCACTGCATATACATTATTAGTAACTTTTAGTAGTAAAAGTAACTTCCAAATGTGCTAATGCACTTTTAGAAAACTGCAATAAATGTTCCCTGAAAAGCTGTGCTTGATTGACAAATTACATTAATTGAAAGAGCTAGAAATTTTGGTTTGAAACAGATAATAGCATCTCAAAACTTAAAGCATTTCACATTTCTTTGTCCTGTTACATCAAGGCACTCTAGTAAGAAATTTGTACTACATGAATCTGAATGAAATTGCTCTATTGAAAAAAAAAATTTAAATGGAAATGCTCACTTAAAGAACCAGAGCAGTTATAGATATTTGGCTGTGCTATGGTGGGAAAAATCTGACATCTTTGCTTTCTTCTTGTTAAGCTTTCCAGATTATTTACTTAGTTCTAGTGTTGATTCTAATGCTTTCAACTTTGTCACCATCTGTGAATTCTATATACTCTGTCTACATTACCAGTATTTCTATTCTCAGTGAAGTAAAAGGCACAATGCTCTATTTTCCTATGAGAATAAAAAGAAAACTCTTTATAATGATTTTTTCTCCAGCCGTAGGAATAAAATATGGTAAACAACAGATCTTAAATTTTTCAACTCAGTGTAACTCACCACCACAAACCAAGAAATATGCCCATTTTTGCCATATTGATTTTCACTTTGGAAAACGTAATATGTTCACTTTGTTGATATATCTTATCTCATAAAAGGACTAGATAAAAATCAATAAAATAATATTGTCTTCTATCATGAAAGAAACATGAAGTTTGGTGTTGTACTATTTTTTTTTAAGATGTGTACAGTTAGATGCTTTAGGGCAATTTATGTAGGTTCTTTCGGTTCTGGTGATATTAGTAACCCATCATTCTGGTTTCTGACCAAGCATCTCCTTCTCCCTGAATATGCATTAGAGGATGCACAGGACAGTCAGCCTTGGCACTAATAAAGCTGAGTGGCCCTCCTCCCATCTCTGTTTGAACAGTAAATAGGAAAGAAGATGCTTCCCATTGGCCAGGTTAAGCACATTAGTGTCTGTGAATCCTGGGTGCAGCTGGCCAAGTGCTCCCTACTTGAATATAATGAATGGGCTTTACCTTGCACTGGCAGAGAGTACACTCAGTGCCATGTTTGATCCAAGAGGACCCAGTGAAGCGAACCACATTCATCTCGTCCAGGCAAGTTTTGGTGATGTCATTACGGATGGTGTCGGCCTGGCAAGGGTCGGTGACACAGCGCGGGCAGCACTCATTCTCTAGGAGGACACTGAATTCACACTCCACCTCTGGGCAAGGCAGGGGCCAACAGTCAACTTCCCCTTGCTATAAGGAAAGCAGATGAACAAGGGCAAAGGGAGGGGGAGGGAGGGCGTGGAGGGAGGTGAGGAGGGAGAGAGCACAGTGTTTACCGAATACTCAATTGATTTGATGGACATTTATACTCAGACCTTCACAGCTATGAATCTTGCAGGGAATCCACAAAATCCCTATCAGAGAGATGAGACCTGTACTGCAGATGGATTATAAAACAGTCTTCAGGAGTTAAACAAGAACAACAGTAAAGGAAAGCAAAAACTCTTTCTCTTAAAACAAACAAATTTGCATGCGCTTCTCTTTCCCATGACAAAGGAGAACTGTTTACTACAGAAGAGGTTTTTACTTAGTTTCTGCCTAGGAGATACTTTTTTCGTTTTTACTATCTTTTCCCCCTACCTTCTCATTTATTCCCTTCTGCAAAAACAAAGTTTTGTTCACTGACAAGAAAGTAAACTGAAATATGAAGGAAATTTGACAGTTTTTCTTTGTTCATTTATACGTTCCTCAGTGTAGGGACTTTGGAAAAAACAAAACGGAACTAGGAGCTGATTTCAGTCTTTTTTATTCCACATGAGAAAATTGTGTGAATTGGATCTTTTTAAAATTTAGTTCCCACCTGTTTCCTATTTTCTTCATAATTCTGAGTCTCAGGGTCTTGGAGATGAAAGCAGCCTTCAGGTACAGAAACTGACCTTGCTCTTTCAATTGATTTTGGGGTTGAAAGTATAAAAAGGAAGCAACAAACAAGCATTGCCTTAAAAATATCTTCACACAAATAGAAAGGAAATTAGTCCTAACTTTAAAAGTAGCATCTGTGAAACTTTCTTCTATAAAGACATATAGACCAATTTTCCTTTTTATTTACACCACTAGAAAGAAACAAGAAATTTGGTTAAATGAAAAAATGATTGGTATTTTCCTTATCAAGTCTTCATTTTCTTTTTAACCTATTGTTTCCAGTAGAAGTTTCATAAATATATACATTCCATTCTAAGATTCTAGTATTTATTGCATATCCATATTATGTGTTAAACAGGGTGCCCACCAGAACAGCACTGACAGTAATAATCTTTAGAAAGAAAAAAAAGTGTGTTTTTTTTGTTTTTGTTTTCTTACATCTAAGCATAATTGATAGAAATGGATGAACAAAAGGTTTATTGGAAAAAGTGATTTTTTTTGAATGCCATTATTCTGTTCATAACTGTCTCTAAGTAAACCTAAGCTGAGAAGCCAGGAGAGCCTTTTCTTCTTTTGAGCTCTGGCGATAGTCCTGAAAGACTGACATGACATGGTGTACCACATCTACCCCCAGATATTCCTTCTCAGGCTCTGAATGCATAACCATCACCGTATCATCCTAACCAGGTTCACTTTTTGTAACTCCGAACACTATGGCCAGGTACCAAATATCAGTGCAGGGGGCAGGGCAAGGTTGTTTTACGATTTCAATTCTGGGTTTAAACGTTTCCCTGAATTTCACGTAGCTGAACTTACCAAGCAGCGGCACTGCTGGCAATTCTGGACCCAGGTGTCACCACTATTGTACAAGGTTTCCCCATTTTGATGGAGGCACTGACTGCTCAGCCTTGGGTCACATTCGGGGCAGCAGAAAAGATCAACCGTGGGATTCTCACAGTCACAGACCATCCGTCGACACATTACAAATCCATTCTGTATGACAAGGGAAAAAAAGCAGTTACCAAAAACCTCCATTTCTCAATATACTAACATCATATGTATGTGTGTATCTGTGTATGTGTACATGTGTATATACACACACAGATATACATTTTATATATATTACATACTATATCTATAATCTCAGATGTTGATTTGGAAGTTGAGATAACTCACACTGTTTACCCAATATAACTGATTTTCTTTAAAATTCCATTTTGTAGCTAACACCCAGAAATTACTTAAGCTGGAGAACTTCCAATTTTCTTTCCACACATTACTCTTTAAATGACTTGACTGGAAAGAAAATTTTCAGAACTAACCAGTTAAAATAACCACTGCATGGCTCTTATGTGTAAATAAATTGTGTATGTATACATAAATATACATTTACTTGTTTATTAATATAGTAATTTGAATACTAACTAAATTTTGTTTTGTGTGAGGGTTTATATTTGGTGGCTAGTCAACAAGTTTTACATATTATTAAGTTTCTAGAATATTTTAACCTTATGATTTGTACAAGCTGTTATCAATTTCTTTAATAATAGTTGAGTCCTTGGTATTATTCATTTAACTATAATTTAAATGTCTATCATCAACTGGGTACACATAATAGAACACCTCTCTAAAAGTGAAATATAACCCAAATAGATATTTTTCACTTACAGGCCATAGCATATTCATTATGGTTTCATTTATGCATTCATTCAAACATGATATTGTGACTATAGAAACATTAGCATAGTTAGAAACAAAATTTTACCATATGAATAAATAAACACATTGTGGTATTTCCATACAATGGAATACTATTTAGTAATAAAAAGGAATGGGTTACTGATATGTGTAATGAATATAAATGAATGTCAAAACATAATGCTGAGAGAAAGAAGTCAGACACAAAAGAGTATGGACAGTCTTCCCTTGGTATCGTGGATACTAAAATCCGTGGATGCTCAAGTCCCTTATATTAAATGGCATAGTATTTGCACATAACCTATGCACACCCTCCCGTTTACTTTAAATTATCTCTAGATTACTTATAACATCTAATACAATGTAAATATTATGTAAACAGTTGCTGGTTGTGGGGGAAATTAAAGTTTTGCTTTTTTGGAACTTTCTGGAATTTTTTTTACCAAATATTTTTAATCCACAGTTGGTTGAATCCATGGATGGGGACCCTGCAGATACGGAAGGCCAACTGTGTTATATGATTCCATTTATATGACGCTCTAGAAAATACAAATCTAATCTATAGAAACTGGAAGCAGTGCTTGCTTGAGGCTAGGGCTATGGGACTAAGAACAGACTGAGGCAACATTTTGGGTAGGTAAAAATGTTCTATTAATTGAGTGATGGTTAAATGGACGTATGCATTTGTCTAAGTTCATCAAGCTGTACACTTGAAATATATGCAAATTACACCTCGATAAAAATGGTTACAATGTTTTGTTTATACTAACCTGACATGAGCACACAGAGCACCTGTCATTTTCCAACACCCAAATCTGACCATTGTGCTTAACTTTTCCATCATGGATGCAGTCCCCTGTGCAATTCTTTCCATGAGGACATCGGCAATCATATCCACCATCCAAGTTAAAGCAAATGGTATCATTGGCACAGCTGTGCCTCCCGGTCCCACACTCGTCAATATCTACAGCCAAGAAAAGACAGCAGGCAATGTGCTTAGAATATGCTCCGTTTCAAACAACTGCAATCAGGCAAGTTGTCTCCTGACATAAAGCATTCAACTGGAAATTAATTTTCATCTTACTGGCATGCATTTCCTATTAATGCCGACTAAAGCAATGTTAATGATCTAGGGATATCACACAAAAATATTATCATGCTTAGTTTCAAACACCAAATAACCTTGGCTAGATTTTTAACTTTTATATCTCTGTAAATACCATTAGGCTTTATGAAACATTTATATTTTTTTGAAAGTTACGAATAGGACTCAATGTTTCAAACACAAACAGTTTGGCAGTGGAAATTCTAAAAGTGTCTATTTTTTTTAATTGAAGAAATCATCCTCAGTGTTAAAATGGTGCTTACAGAAAATCCTTTCTTAGTGGGAAATGAAATGTCATGGAAGACCTGAGGCATTTTTATTCAGTTTCAAGCCCTGTTCTCACAGCTGTGTCACCCATATGTAAGCTCTTTCCAGTGTACTGCCCAGGTGTTCTTCCCTTAACAGTCCAGGCATTTTCACACTGTCCTTACACCCTGCCTCTCACCCATGGAAGGGCAAGTGACCATAAGCAATTACCATCTCTCGCAGATAGAATCCCCCAGTTCTTAACTTTTCCATTTCAGATCGTTTCATCTCCTGCCTCAGTTGGCAGCTTCCCATTCTTCACCTGACCTCACCTATTCCACGGCAATCACAACCAAAGCATTTTCATACAGATGAAAAGCAAACATATGTTGACCCAGAGATCAGGTCCATATGAAGATATGAGATTCATTTTATTTATCCGCACCATTTAAAGGTCACAAGACAAAATACATTTCAGGGATATTGTATGAGTGGCAGTAAGGAGTTATTTCCTTTTTCATCTGAGTAAAGGTCAAGAAAGAAAGAATTAAATCACAGAAGGAAAAGTGGGTTAGAGAAGATGGAATATATAGCTTTTAACTAGAAGAACTGTACACTGATTTCCCTTCAAAATTGTAGAGCATAGTAACTACCTTAAATGGTTTGATTTCAACATTGTTGGGGACATGAACTGTTCAAGATTATACTTTAGCCACATTTAAATTCTTAAATACTTAAATTCTGTCATATATGTTTTCCTGAAAATAAGTTACATGATTACTTCTCTCTATGTACTTTGATTTTTATTAGTTCCCATATCAATAAAACCAATGAACTGAGATGACAGCTGAAAAGGTTTCTATTATAACTACAGTAAACTTTATTATCACTTGATTTGTCCAGGATAATACTGCTTATAATTAAAAACTATGATCAAAAAAATAACTCTCAGCCAGCATGAGGATATATTAAAATTTTAAAATATACATTTTTATATATAGATATAGATAGATAGATATATACATACATGTATATCAGATCAGAAAAAAATTTTCTCTTGGTAATAGAAATGAATTTTGTAAAACACATCTATATTTGGTCTAATCCAAATAATAAGGTATCTTTGATGAGTTGATATTTGTCTCCCATTAAGTATTTATGGTAAGCAAGAAAAACATTAACCATAGTTGTTTGGTCTCTTTTTTTTTTTTTTTTTTTTTTTTTTTTTTTTTTTTTTCCCCAAA